TTAAATTACATTGCAGTGTTTGTTTTGTAACAGATCACTGCAATGTAAGATTGCAATGCAATCACATTGCAGCCAATGGATGCAATGTGATTGCAGTCCAAAACCAATGCAATTACATTACATTGCACTCTGCAATGTCTTAAAAACAATTTACCCTTCAATTTTATTACTTATTAAAAATATTTTATAATATTATAATTAAAATAAATATATAATATAAGAATAAAAATTAAAATAAAATAAAATATAAAAAATTAATATTTATATAATATAGATAAAAACAATTAAAAAAATATATAATATAAAAAATATATTAAAGAAATGAAAATAAAATATATAAATTATAATAATAAATAAAAATAAAAATATATGACATTAAAAATATATTTAAAATATGATATTATATAAAAATTAATAATAAAATATAAATTGTAAAAAATAAATATTATAATAAAAATAAAAATAAAATATATGACATTAAAAATATATTTAAGAAATGATATTATATAAAAATTAATAATATAAATATAAATATATTAAAATAAAATATAAAATAAAATATATAATAATAAATAAAATAAAATATACGATATTAAAAATATATTTAAGAAATGATATTATATAAAAAATAATAATATAAATAAAATATTAAAAAATAAATATAAAATGTAAAATATTATAATATAAATAAAATAAAATATATGATATTAAAAATATATTAAGAAATGATATTATATAAAAATTAATAATAAAAATATAAATATATTAAACTTATATTTTAATAATTAAGGTAATTTGACAATATAGCATTACATCCCACTAAAGTACTTGTAAACCAAACACTGCAATGTTATCTTCCTGCATTTTAATCATTATTTTACTTACATACCAAACACTTTAATGTTATTTTCCCTGTATCACATTGCTTTAATCACATTACTTGCATCACATTACCTGTAATCACATTGCATTAAATGTACCAAACGCCACCATACAGTTAAATAAAAATATTAATCTGCAATGTTAATTAAGGAATATAGATTTAAATAGAAAGCTTTAAAAAATAATAATAAATAATAAATAATAATGAATATACGAGCAAGGTAATAAATCACCTAAATTATAAACATATTATTGCATGAATAATGAATTAACTAAATTAATAAATACGTTCATGTAGATATCATCATCTTATCCTGTCATATCGTGCCATGCTTATCTTGTTAATGGGGCAGGAATTCTGATGAGGGATTTCCTCGAAGGGGTCGTAGAGATGAGTTCTTCCCAAGATATCTCCAGGTGAGGAAAATTTTGAGATTCACCAAAGCGTTGGGATCTACGAATGATTTTTTGATAAAAGATTGCCAACCTCATCATTTAAAATTGAACAAATCATAACATCATTTTATGACTGTATCATGTGCATTTGTGAAACGAATAAAAGACTCAATCAACTAATATAATACAAAATTAATTAATAAGCAGGGATTAATGAAATATAGGAATAAAATCAAGGGTAGGTTACAATAAGATAACTTAAGATTAAATGTTATCGTTCATGGAACGGGAGTCACGGAGGTGTTAATCCTTCTCCGTGCGTAACCACACTCTTAAACCATCTCTAAAAAATCATAGGCTAGTTCTCATTCTTTCGACGGACTAAAATTAATTTAGGATTTCGTCGATTAGAACCAAGTTAATAGGTGACCAATCGCCTCTAGAAAAGATGATTGGTGGCAACTCCTAGGTATCTATTCGTCAACGTCTAGCAATTGGGTTTCTAGACCTGCAGTTTCAACAATAAATAGTATACACAAACAACTTCCAAATCAATTTGCATCCATAATTGCCATTCATTTTTACCAACTCATGCTTTCCACAAAATATATTATAAAATCATTGTAAACCATGTATTCAAATCATACTATCATTTTCTAGCAACTCATGCTTTCCATAAAAGCATAGATAATACTATATATATATTTTCATATAGTAAGAATCTTTTAAATGACACCCCCTACTCACCTCTCTTAGCTAGATATTACTCACCAAATTAAAACCCTTATGTCCTCAATTCATCAAGATGACTTACCGGTCACTTGTTTCTCCATGAATTATATCCTCAACAATTATCTTTCACTTAGTTAATCTCTCTGAGCAGTTAGTTTCAAAATACTTTAGTAACATTACAATTCATTTGTCTTACATTTGCTGCCCATATTTACTTAAGGCTTTTATATCCTACTCCATTCTCTTTCTTATTAAAACATTAATCATCATTTTAATAACTCCAAAGCATGCTAAAATCACCATCTTTCCCAATTAGCCGTTTGCATATTCGTATGCATAGTTAACATTTTTACTAAAGGAATTTATAACCTTTACATGCATAATTCTCTATATTACATGTATCGGTAACTTATTTATAACATCAAGTGTCCATTTCAACATTTCCAAACAACATTCATCATAGTCCATCTTATATTTCATAGCATTAACCATATATATGGCAGCAACAATCAATCCAATTTCACTCAATTATTTCTAAGCTTACATGCACAATTTGTCTATTTAACTTTCAATGCTTTGTTTCCCAATCTTCCATCCACATTATTCTTCCTTATTTCTTTCAAACAACATAGCAAGCAACCTTAACATTTCTAACAAGCATAAGCATTTCTCCTAGCCAATTTTAAGGTATCATAATACATTCACATTCCATGCTTACCTTTTAAAGTAGCTTGGACTTTGCATGCATCTTAACACATCTCTATAGCTTTCATCATTAAGGCTGCCATACATAAATCTATCAATTAACCCGCACATTTTTCCACCATATAGGAATTCAAAGGTTAAGAACATCTTACCCTTTTTTCGTTTTATCTTAAATCCGTCACCTAACCAAGGATCAATGGCATGCATGCATCCATA